GTCCCATTCTTTTAACAAATAATAATAGGTTCTAAGTATTCATCCCCCCGCCCCACAATCACACACAAAGAAACCCCTCCCATAAACAATGCCTATTTAGCAGGCTTATAGAGAGCGGGGGCGATTTGGTGGCAGTTCAAATTAATAAGAGAGTCAACTTATTGCTTAAYGACAAGCCAACATATTATAACAGCATTATGTTGTTATGCTGCCAGTGTGAACCAAAATTAAGACAGATTTTGAGGAGACTGATGTTATTCTGCAATTAAATTGCTGCATTTTATGCAACCAAAGCAAACAGAACTGGAATTGTAGTTAACTAAACAAATATGTTATGTCTACATGCATGTGTAACAGAAGCTCATAATTTATTTTATACAATAATAAAAAAAAAACAACAAACCTCCTCAATAGTGTGAATCACTGCATAGTCTGTAACATCATCCTTGGTAATGTCTGCAATTGTGTTTTCATCATTTGGAGATAACAGGTACTCATAAATCACTGGTGGTAGATGTGCAAATCCTGGCCCTCCATTAAGAATGCTCATGGAAATCATTCTACCTGCCACCTTAAACAAGCTTGCTCGTACTGCATYTGTATTGTGCATTGGCAGTGAAAATGTCCCTCCACTTTCAAACAGCTTTATTGGGGCAAATGGAGATAACAATGAATTAACTAGAAGGGTAAAGTATTCTTTAGTTGGGCCACCACCATCAAGTGCTGGTTCTCCCTCAAAGGTAACCATGRCATGACTGCTGTAATCGAACGCCCTTTTCTTGAAGAATGGAACACTATCAGCAAGGATGGTTTCTCGTCTGATAGTAATTCTCAATGGTGGGTCCTTTTTGCTACTGATATTCAAAAGAATGTTTTCTAGACTGTCTTCTTCGCCACTGTCAACAGTGTTCCATCTGACCAGATCATTTCCTGAAAGTAATGGTAATGAATTGAAATAAACTTATAAAATTATACTATAAGTGACTGAAGRCCCTACCTATCTAATTTTCCTTTTTTATTAAATTACAATGGGTTACTTGCACTAAGTTCACATGACCTCATCTCCCCTTAATCTTAAATCTTTGTAAAACCAATATCAATAAGTGGAAAGAGCATACTAGAATTATAGTAAGGTTTGGATGAACCTGAACCTTTTATCACACAGTATACTCAAGGACAATACATTGGTAGTAATATATGACTGAAAGTAGTACTTGCAACATTCCAGAATAACGCTATTAGTTCTAGCAACACCATTCCTGTTTGTAGCATAATCAAGTCTAAGCCAGTGAATAAAGTCAAGTGCAAAGGAAAAAGTGGCTTTTTATTTGCTAGTCATGACAAGGGTACATTCCTATACACCTCTGGCATTTTGTGAGTGTTTTCATTACAATTATGTCACATAAAAATACTCCATACCACAGTATTTAGACATTGCGAATGTACTCATTAAGTTCTGTGCTAGCTGATGACAATTCATATAGAGGTTCTTGTGTAATTGTCATTTATAATTGATGTTTAAAAAGCACTAGCCTAGTAGTTCTTAACCCACTGGTTCTTATATGCAGGGTTTTACTGACATTTGTGAACTTACTTGTGCTATTTCCTGAATCAGTGTAAGAACACTTGGGGCAGACAAACTCTTCATCATCGGCATAAACCCTCATACASCCAGAGTTACTGGTGAATGTGCCAGCAGAGTGTAGGTCAACTTCATGGCCACACTTTGGGCACTTTACCTTGTATACAATCCCTTGTCCATATTTTGTTATGAAATATGAATCTTAAATAAAAAACAGATTTCGAACAAATATTAGACTGGTGAAGAAAAAATTCAAAAAACTTTTCTTCATCTCTTCCAAGTACATGCCTCATTCAGAGATGACTCTCACACTAACTACCTCTATATTCAATATTTGCAACACACAGGAAAAGAAAGAAGGAGGAAAACCGAAGAACCCATAGAAAAACCCTTGTCACATGAGAGATAACAACACATCGAACAAACTTAGTTCGCATATGACCAGTAGAGCAGGAATCAAACCCGGGTCACAAGCCAGCGCTCTCACCACTTGGCCACCCATGATGAATGATAATAAACATTTATATATCATTGCATCTAATTATAGTAAAATTGTGCATAGAAGAACCAATGGATTGTAAACTCCTAGACTGAAATTTGCAGTAAATGATGATAAAACGGCATGCTTCCTTACTTACGTCCTTAGGTTGCCCTCAGGTGAGCCAAGTATAATGTTCATTATACTTACCATCTACTTTGGAAGATGTTTTGGTTCTTTCCTCTTCTCCAGAGGCAGATTTTATTGCACTACTTGCTGTTTTGGTACTAGACATGAGTAAAATATGACCATTAAATACACTATCAAACATCAAACATTCAATAGGTATTTGCATGAGGGAGTCAATTGCTGCAACTTCCTGACTGCTTTTCCACTTTCTTTTGAAGTGTATTAGTACCATCAGGTGGGTTGCAATGCACGTCATTGTCCGCTCTATGCATATAAAGGATGTATAACTATATGCATATTTCTAATATTACTAATGCATATTTCTAATATTTTAAATTATGTATATAACTATGTATATTTCTCGTTGTAGGGCAAACAATCAGCAACCATACAAATTATCAACAGTGTGTATAAAATAAACATATAAAAATTCATCGAGGTATAAATCATTTTCAATTACCTTTTGTTTTGGCTGAATGATGAAGTACTTTGAAATGAAGTACTAGGTTTTGTGTTTGATCGATCATCTTTTGCTTTCTGCTCTTTCTCCTTGATCAATGTGGAGTCTTCTCCAAAAACAGATTGCTTCAGGACTTTGGCATCTGAATCGGACTCCTCATCATCGGACTTCTTCTTGTCGAGCCATTTAGTGATGTCTTCACACAAATTGGTGGTTGCTCGAATATAAATCGGACCTTGTTTAGAGATGTGCTTAAGGAATTTTCCAGTAAACGGCCCATTCCTTAGTTCAATTTTTTATTCCCTATTGCCCTAACAAATGTGAACTTAGGACATGTGGACATTGCAAACGTATCCTTAAAAAGCTCGTTAAACATCACTTGAACTCCTTCCTCGTCAATTTCCTCTGAGATTGTCACTCCTGACTCTGCATAGCCTTCACTGAATAAGTATTCACGGAATTGTCCTCTTGGAACATTTTCTACTTTAAAACTTGGCAGTAGAACAACGTCTTTCAGGACTGACTTTCCAGTTGCTCGTCCTGTGGTACCTCTCTTAGAAGAAACGCTTGATTTAATACCCGTGGCATGTCGCCTCTTCGCTGATGAGGTGTAGTTTGTATTTCGGTTAAACATAGTGCTTGACCTTCCACTAGTACTTGGATATAACTTTTTCATAGTGTCTTCAACATTCGTGACATTTTGAGCTCTTGGTGATGCTTCAGGCTTGGTTTCCACCAGATTTTGCACAGCTTCGATTAGCGTATTTAAAATTGGTTCCGCCATCATGGAAATACTTCCAAGGACGACAAGCAAGGAATTTGGCGCGAAAAGATATCAGCTACTGATCATGTGCATAGCATTGCTGCTGACCACAGATCGCAGGCGTCAATAAAGTCATATATTTCGACAAGAAGTTTTATATTTCTTCGACAAGTCTTACATTTTTACAATAAGTCTTATATTTCTTAAAACAAGTTTCATATTTTGACAAGAAGTTTTATATTTCTCAAAATAAGTCTTATCTATTTGATACAAGTATTTTTGTCCGGTTTGGCGCGCCATACACAGCACAGCAAGCAAGCTTTTTATTTCTTTTATAAAATGCAAAG